GGTGAACAGAAAGAATAATAGAAGACCAACCCAACTGAAGAAAAATGTGAAGATTGCAAGGAAACAGGTTTACATAAGTAAGGGAAAAATTGGTGATGCAGCTGTTGCAAATTCTGGAATTCAGAATAATGAAGATCCCGTAAAACTGGATTCTTATGCTGATAAAAACAATCTGGAAGAGGGGGAAATTGATGTTGATCAGGAGGCGAATGTGAAGGAAATGCGGTTGAAAACATTAGAGGAGTTGGCCTTTCGTACTGATAAGCCTGTGGATTGTACTAATGGTTTGGAACCTGTAAGTACCTCTAACAAAGATAATTTTGTCAATCCTGCTGAAAATCAGCTTTCTGATGTAATTCCTGAAGCTGCTAACTATTCAACATCTGTTAATCAGATAGAAGTTATTCGTGAATCTGTCTTATGTGATAAGGATAATATGTTTAAAGTTCTTTGTTTGATTGATGAAGATGACAGTTTGATTACTGATAACAAAGAATTGGATAAAGATAATATAGAAATCAGGATTGACAAAAATGATAAAGAAGACAGAGGAGTAATTGAAGATGCTACTTCTCCCACCATTGTATCTGCTTCAAGTCTTAATGTGACCAAATTCAAATTACAAAAGGAATTGAAGTCCTTGGGCAATATTAGCTTACCATCAAAAAACAGGAAGGGTGATCTGACCAAGAGGAGAGGCTGTGGGCATTTACCCACTCCTGATCCAAAATGAGCTCATTAATTTTTTGGAATTGTAGGGGGGCTAGGAAAGCTGAGGCCTCCCATTACTTGAAGGAAACTGTGAATGACAATGGTGCAATTTTTGTGGATCTTCTTGAGACCAAAATCTCTTCTATAGATCCTTTGGAATTCAAAAGATTTATAGGAGATAGATGGGATTTCTTTTTATTCCCATCAAGAGGATTATCTGGTGGCATAATGGTATGTTGGAGATCGGATTTGACTGTATTTTCTGTCATGGAAGCATCTAAACAGCTTGTATTGGGAGAACTGAACATTGCTAACAAAGGCACTTGGGTGATAGCTACAATCTATGGAAGCACTGAAAGCTGTGAAAGAAGAATACTATGGAATAAATTGGAGACCTTATCATCCTCAAAACTTCCATTGGTCATGGGTGGAGATTTTAATTGCATTTTATCCCAAGATGATAAAAAGGGTGGAAAAAAGTTTGTTTTGTCACAAGGAGCTAAAGAAATGTATTCCTTCATGAGAAATTGTGATTTCCATGATATTAAATTTATTGGTCCTAAATATACATGGTGTAATAATAAGACGGGTAATGCCCGTATCTTAGAAAGGTTGGATCAGTGCATTCTAAACTGTACAGCCTTAAATTCCTTGAAGGTGGCGGTGGTAAGGCATTTAGCAAGAGTTGCATCGAACCATCATCTCATTATGCTGAAAATCTTTTCTCCTATTATTTACAGAAGAAATAATCTGAGATTTGAAGATGTATGGCTATCATATCCGGCCTCACATTCTGTGATTTGGTTTTCTTGGAATAAACCTGCTGGAGGTAATGCTGATGAAAGTTTGAATAAAAATTTTCAACGCTCTTTAAAAGCTTTGTTTTTTTGGAATAAAGCTAAGCATAGAGCTTAACCATGTTGAAATATTGTTTAAAAAAAAGAAATTTTGGAGCTCCAAGAAGAAGAATCTTCTGATGGAGGATTATCCGAACAAAAAACAAATTTGATGAGATCTAAGGTCCGAGATGTTGACCTCTAACTGTCAGAAAACGATATACATGCATCTGCCGGTCCCACCTCATGATGATTATCGCCAAAACGAAGCAACTGTTCGTTCAAAAATAGGTAACTGCTCAAACCGCCCACGATCGCAAACCGTCGCCCCTCTCACGACATAAAACCCTCTCTCATTCAGTTCTCACGCGATGAGAACCGAAAGAAACGAATGCACACATACGCTCACAGAATTGGAAGAAAATCGCAAGCAAGGCAAAGGAACTTACCACTCGATCTCTCCGACACCTGCACCCGACCGTCACTGAAGAAGAACGTCGCCTCCTCTGCACTACCGAAGCCCTTTGACGCCTACTTCTTAATCATCAACTCACCGGCTCGACTCCAATCGGACAGCCGTCATGCCCTAAAGCCGCAAGCAAACCGAGCCCGACGCCTAGTCTCCGTCTCTTCTTGCCGACGCTAAAGTCGCCGGCCTGACTCGCCACCAACCCCACCCGAGCCGACGCCAACTGGTCCGTCGCCGATCAAGGATCTCCGATGTGCACCCGTGCATGACTAGCCCTAGCCCGATCAGGCTTCTTCCGCCCCTCCTCTGTTATATGTATTATATAATATATATATATATATAATATAATCGAGTAGCTTGATAAGATTTTGAGTCGACTTGGATTGAGCTCGAACTCGAGCTCGTTAATCATTCAAGATCGATTATAGGCTCGAGCTCGAAGCTCTATAAGCTCGACTCACGAGCTCGTTAACGAGTCAAGTTCGAGCCAGTTCGGTTCACTTACACCCCTAGAACGGGCAACTTCTAAGGAAGCCATAAGCCCCAACCCAAATTAAATCAAACTAAAATGCACACCTAACCACTTCAGTCTATTCGGGATCCCTGAGAGGAGGCAACCCATGGCTGCTAATCAGATTCTCTGGACACTATGATCAATGATTGTTAGTGTTGGTAGACTGAAATCTACGATATACCCGGGACGACGAAACCATGGAATCTTGATCGGGTTTACCTCCATTTGCCCCACTATTGAGACTAAAATTACCTAAAATTTATTCATCCTTAATCGAGAGTTCTCTCTTACGTAGTAAGAGGGGTAATTAACTATGAGTGCTTGCACTCATAAGAATACTTACTCCCAGATCTTTAAACCCTGACTCTACCCTCAGGGGAAATCTGGTTAACTATAATCTGACTTAAGGGAAATGGAATCCTACGGCTGCAAAGCGGGATTCGTGCATTCATGCCATTTTTCTTGAGCCAACATTCCAATGTCTTGTATTATTGTAATTTAGAAGCTTGATATGCTCACTAAGTTGACACTTATTTTTTATTTGCAAAACATTTAGAAGTATTATTCAATTAATTTAAAGAGTAGAATATGAGAGAACATTTATCGTAGACGCGACACACCAAGAGAAAGGTATTTATGACATTTTTACTTTAAAATTTTAAGGTTTTAGTGGCTCTTTCAGCGTTGGAAATAGTAAAATATAATCAATCGTCTGACCAACATTTTTTGCCTCGTTAATTCAAGCCTTTTGGTTGAGTCGTGACACAATTAGTCCGTATATTTTGTGCTTATAGTCAAATAAAATGGCTCGGCGAGACTAATATAATGAGCCCAAGACCATTCGATTCTGACATCATTAAGGCAGTCAAAGATTTGATAAATTATTAATGATCAAGGGGATCGATATGGACCGTACAATGAAGTGTTTTAATTTATAGCCAAATTTATTAAAATTCCCCTCTCAAAAAGGCTATAAATAGGGCATCATTCTTTACATAGAGGAAGATTCAAGAGCTAAAAGAGCCAAAGAACTCTATAGTAACTGTAGCGATCATCTCCCATGACCACCATCAATAATTATTGTCATCATTTTCAAACTTCTGTCATCCAACTATCATCATTTGACTATTAATATAACTCTATCGTTGGGTTTTAATTTTTTGCTTGTGGATTTTTTATTTTTGTAATCCATACAAAGGGAATCATATTATTGTACTCAATCATGTTTAATCCCATCTCCTTCAATTGTGATAAAGAGAATATTCTTGTATCTTTCAATATTTAGTGGATTATTGCAATTGGGCTAAGCTCCATGTTTTTTCCCATTCTTAAGTTTTTCATGTAAAAAATTCTGATCTCTTATGACTTTTATCTGTGCATGTTGGATTTTTTGTCTAAAGCTAAGATCTAAAATATATAGTCTGTTGCTGTAAATTTTCTAGCATGTAATAATAATCACCATTTCTTCTCACCTTGATGGAGTATAAATATTTAAGGAAAAATCCTTATTGTTACATGTTAACGAACAACATTTGATGTAATTCAAGTTTTCACCAAAATCTTTCATCTGTTCCCTCCAGCCTGTTATACTCTTCTGCTCAAACAGCCTACTCTCTAAGCGTTCTAATATCCAACTAGAAATCCCTCTTCTATATAAACCTTAACTATTGTTGCAGATGCCTGCGAGTGTCATATTTTCCTCTTCAGTCCATCCAAGCTGGAAAATCGGTTGGAATTTTCTGTCCACAACTAAACTAGTGAAGATAATCTGAAAACCATGCTCTCGATAAAGCCTTGTTTACCGATTAAAGTTCAAGGGAAAAAGTTCAAATTGAGATTTTTACATCTTATGCTATCCACCGTTTGGATAATTTTCTTTCATTTTCTGTCAATGGAGAGGCTTGATAATTAATGAAGCTGAATATAAAACAAATCAGAAATATTTATGATAAGCTATGCTACATTGAACAGATTGTACAAAAGGTGAAGCTTGAGAACTCTGCAATGAGAACGCTAGATATGATTTAACTGTTATGTGAAGTTCTGAATTTATTGTTAATGAATTTCTGCTAATTTTGTTGCACCCACAGCCATGGAAAGATATCTGAGTTGTCTGAGAGGGTTGTTTTATAGAAATATTCCTTCAAAATGTTTATTTTGAGTGCTTAAGAAAATTAATCTTTTTTACAATATCATGAACTTCTACAACACATATTTTGATGGAAAATTTCCTTAAATTCTTTGATTTTGTTTGCCAAGTATTACAGAAACATATATAGCTGCACCTTTGCATTTAAAATTTATGATTGCGACGAGCTTACTTTTTTTAGTTATTTTAGTTGATTGCATGATTTAGTCTTGTTTCATCCTATAACGTGTGGAAGAACGTAACCTGTTTTCTTTATTATTCTTTATATTATAATGAATTACTTTCCCTCTTTTTATCTCTCCCTTTCTTTTTTGTTTTTAGGCACTTGACTTGAAACCTAACTATGTTCGTGCTTGGGCTAATATGGGCATAAGTTTTGCCAATCAGGTTTGTTTCTTATGGCTAATATGTGTTCTTTTTTCTTAAAATTATTTTTTATGCTTTGTTGATCATCGTCAACTGTTCAGGTCCTATTCTTATTTGTTCTTCATTCCTGTGACGAGTTGCATTCCTTGTTAATTCAGGTTTTGCTTTTTTAAGTTCGTTCTCTACCCCTTCTGGTGGGATAGGGCTAATGCTGATGTTGCATCTGCTCCTCTCTGCTCTTGCCTTCTCAAATCAGTCTCATCTTTTTTTAACAATCTTATTGTCAAATTTATCTTTCAACAAAACTGAAAATAATAAAACTTGCCAGATCTTCTCTCAATTAATATTAGTGACATGATTTGGCTGACTGTGGTGGAGATGGTTGTGTTTGGAAGTTGGAGAAAAATACTCAAAATTTTATTCGGAACTCTAATAAGAATACTAAAACAACAACAACAATATTGACCTGCTGTACCGAGAACAAAAAAAAAGAAGAAAAGAAATCAAATATCTCACCTACTCTTTGCCTCTCCCACGTGGCACGTCGCGTACACGACCGCGACGCTCTCCCCACGTCGCACACACGATGCATTCGCATCGTTAAATATCAAGAGGAAATGAGGCCTCCGGCCTCATGGATCTTTTCCTCTCGCTCTCACCTCCTCCTTCGTGGCTCAACGACTTTGCTCCTTTCGACAACTTTCTCTTCCGGTCGGACGGGAAGTCACGACATTTTGGTCGGAAGCAAGATGGTTATTATTATTATTATTATTATTATTATTATTATTATTATTATTATTATTATTATTATTATTATTATTATTATTATTATTATTATTATTATTATTATTAAATATAATAGTAATGATATCATAATAATAATACTGATTATGATTATTATTATTATTATGGTAAAAAAATAAATATATACATGCCTTCTCCTGCCTCGGTTTCTATGCCCTCCATCGCTGGTTTGCCGACCCTGAAGGTATAATTTCTAAACTCAAATTTTTGTCCTAAAATCCTATTCTCGATGCTTGCGACTGGCTGGAAAACCCCCTGCGCGCTCACGTAGCGTTGTAGGGAGGGAGACCGGCGCGTAAATGTCGTTTTCAATGCTTAAAGCAAAATCCATCCACCCTTTGCAATAGTTTGCTGAGGTGTACAAATATGAAATATAACTTCAGCTCATATAAAGCTAATGCCTAGTCGAAAATATCACTAGGATCCATTCTCAAACAATCTCCTGCCAATAAGGACGTGGTACATGTCCTCTAACCTGCAGTTTTGCCGCCAAATGGCACCGTAAGATAAACGGTTATGACCCGGGGCCCTCTGAACCGAGTGGTTTTGCCGGCAAATGGCACCACGAAATATCGGTTATAGCCAGAGTCAATACGCTCCTTAGTGGCATCAAATCCTTGAGATATGAATCAATAGAATATGATCGATAGGGCACAAAGCCCTTTGTTAGCTAAGGTGGATTCAAAGTTGTCCCCTTAGACAAACATTCATCCCAAGTCTACAAGGTTCCTTTGGATGAAGCAACCCATGGCTGCCTATAAGGATCCTTCTATCAGGTTGGGTCGACTACCTCTTTTGACTAAGTAGACCAAGGACCACGATGGCCCGGGACGACGGAACCATGGGATCTTGATCGGGTCTATCATCCATTCCCCCACCATCCGCTTTAAGTATGAGATGGTGAAATTTTTTATTTTAAATATCAAACTTCCCAAATATTTCAACCCAAATTTCTCAAATCCAAACCCAATTCCCAAATCCAAATTCATGCTGCTACTATATGCCAGATAATACGCATCTCTACGTATCTGATTGATGACTAGCCTTAATCGAAAGTTCTCTCTCATTATCGGGAGGGGTAATTAACTATAGGGGCTTGCACCTATAGGAAACTAGAACTCAGATCAAAATGTCCTCGCAAAATGAGGGTGAAATCTCTGGGTAGCGTCTTATTTACAAATCCATCTGCCTTCCAAAATTTATCCCAGAACTTAATTCCATTAAAACTCCCTCGCTAGAAGATAAAAACAAACAGAAGCGGGCGGAGGCCAGAGCCGAATTTTCAGAGCCCACAATCAAGCGTTTATTCGACTACGTGGGGTTGGTTACATGAATCCTTTTTCTCCATTATGTCTTGTTAAGAGTCAAATTCTCCTTTAAATCTAATAAAGAAATGTCATTTCTAATATCTTTTGACCAAGTCTTTTTAGGTTTACATTTACATTTCTTAACATAGGTCAAATCTAATACATCTACTCTCCTAACAATCATCAGAAGGCCGCCGTTTTACATAACCAAACCATCTATGGCGACTCTCTCTAATCTTATTTATTATTGGAGCAACTCCAACCTTTGCACGAATATGCTCGTTTCATATCATGTCTCTAAGACTAAATCCACTCATCAATCTGAGCATCCTTATCTAAGCAACACTTAGTATTATGCTTCTCTTTTAATGGCCAACATTCTGCGCCATAAAGCATTGCAGGTCTCACCACCATCTTATAAAATTTCCCTTAAGTTTTAGTGTTACTTTTCTATCACACAACAAACCTAAGCAATTCTCCACTTCAACCATCCAACTTAAATTCTACTAATAATATCCCCATCTATTTCACCTCACTCTGAACAATATACTCAAGATATTTGAAATAAGTACACTTATTAGTGACTTGATTGCTCAAATTCACCGAAGCCCCATTAGATTGATTACTACTAAAATTATATTCCATGTATTTAGTTTTAGATCTGCTCAAATGAAAACCTTTAGACTCTAAGGTTTATCTCCATAATTCGAGTTTACCTTCAACTCCGTCTCTAGTCCTATCACAAAGAATAATATCATCAGCAAAAAACATACATCATGGTACATCCTCTTGCAAATGTCTAGTAAGAGCATCCATGACTAAAGCAAAAAGATAAAGGCTTAAGGCTGATCCTTGATGTAATCCAATTGAAATAGGAAAATATTTGGTCAAACCACCTTTTGTTTGAACACAAGTAATAGTTCCTGCATACATATCCCTAGTTTCATGCATTTGCTTCTTTGCCCACATCTGTCCATGATGTAGGGACTGTTTTCTATTTAACACTGCACCCGGGCACCAATGCAGCAGCCCTTGCACATTTCTCATTGTATTTAGGTCATACAGCACGTTGCTTTCAGAGAACACCCTAGCATTAACACAATGTATTAAAGGATTTATGTCATGATTATTCGACAAATTTTATCCTAGCTGTCGACTACCTTGTGCAACCCTCCACTTTTCTCATCCAAATCTTGAGATCTGGCAATGACAGTGTTAAAGTTTGTTTGCATAGAGTTTCAAGCAAGATACTTCGCTTGAAATTGATCTTTGATTGTTCAGAATTATAATATGTTTATTTATATTTGATACATAGTATAAATGAACCACAAGTTTATTATCTGGATGCGGTTTGTAGTGTTTACAAGAGGTCAACGCGTTTAATATTTCCCTCCTATCACTTTTATTTTTTCTAATATTTAAATTTGAGTGGATCCAAATAGATTTTGAGCCAGACCATAGTAAAATTAGGATAGAGTTCAAGTTATTTTTCATAATAATTTTGTCATTTATTAAGAAATGTTGATTGTCTGACATATTGATCAATTAAAATCTAATTTTACCAATGTATTGTTCCAATATCATGCACTTTATGTGCAAAGGTATGCGTGTATGTGCCTATTTGAGTTAGGTTTGTTGAATATACAAGCTTTAAAAATCTGCTCATATTAATTAAATGACTTTTGAGCACATCTTTCAAATTCTATAACTAATGGCAATGCAACAAAAACAGCCTGACCTTTTCTTTATTTTAAAATTTACCAAGCATAATGCAGTTCCATATCTGGACAAAGCTTATGCTCTCTATAAAAAATCTGTAGTTCTGAACACAAAGGGAAAACAATCTATTTTTTCAAATTCATGAAAAAAAAAATGACGGCAAATATAAATGACCCTCCATACATGATCTTTGACGTTCTAAATATCAAACAAACATTCTTAACCGTTCTAACGAAAGTAAAATTCTTAAATAGCATGAGAACAGTAAAGAAAAACACAACTATTACGACACATGCAATCTTGTAGCCATTACAAGTCCAGAACTCTATACGACGAGCCATATATAAGCCTCATGTTATAAACAATAAACAAGCATACATCACCATTATGAGACAAGTAAAATGCTTGAGCAGCGTGACAAAAGCAAAGAAAAACCGCATAACTATTACAACACATGAAATCATCTATCGCCATTACAAGTCCATAACTCTGTATAACGATAACCAAGTTAAAATACAATAGCTTCTATAAAATTTTCAAATCACAATGCCCTCTCAGAATAGCCATAAAAAAGGAATTATACCATAATCAACTACAAAAAAACAAATTTATACTTAACATTCTATCCTAATCTATTTGAATGAGCTTATACTAGAAGTTATTTGATTTATATACGAACTTGTTAATGAGCTTTTATCAAGCTACTTGTTGAGCATATTTATGGCATATGAACTAGTAAATTTACATTTAAGGTTGGTTATTATTATTAATATTATTAATATTAATATTATTATTTTGAGGTTTTGAAAATTATTCTGGATTGTTCTTTTATATAGTTAAACGAGTATTATTATTGTAGAATCTTGAGCTGTTCAACATGTTTTCTCATTAAGCTTGATAGGAAAGCACCATTATTCTGGCATGTCATTTATATGGTTCAATGATAATTATTCAAGTGCAATATTGAGATGTTATGCTTGATTGGAAAGCGCTTATCTTCTTCCCCTCCCTTCTCCTTTCTTCTCATGAACTGCTTCTTGCTCCTACCTGTAAAAACTGTGTTGCAGCCATAAGGCATCACCTCCAATTGGTGATGAGATATCCAAATGACCCTTTGCTATCCTGATGGTCGCAGTGAACTACTGCGAGGAACTATCATTGCTGATTAGGGGTGGGGGAGGAGTAAGTTAAGTGGGGTGGAAGCGAGGGAGTGGGGCCGTGAAAGTCCATTGTGGATGGTGGTGGTGAGGAAAATCATCATGGATAGTTTGGTCATCTTCATTTAAAAGAAAAAAAAAACTGTTTTGATTGAGGACTACATATTTTTTTAAAATACTTGGAATAAAATGGCTGTTTGTTAAAAATAGTTCTTACTATACTATTTTTTTACTTTCTTTTTTTCTGCAGTTGTTTACTTACATTTCTCTCCACAATCTTCCATCCAACCGTGTCTTTTACATTTGCATATTTCTGGTTTCTCTTTTCTAGAGATAAAAAGATGACATCGATGTTGATTTTGCCATAAATTCTTCACCTGCCAAGGCATCATTCAACTTATTATACTTCCTAGTGAATGTTTGAATTGTAGGATGAGTTAATTGTGCTGAAAATTTATACTAGAAAATCGGTTTAATTTAAACAAGTTTAGTACAGAACTGGCTTAGTTCAAACTGTCGATATCTCGATTCTGGTGCTTCTGAGAAATGAAAGGATTGTGTTTCGTTAGTCTGTTTAGATGGTGAGATTTTGAGATAAGGCTAATGAAAAAGGGCTGAAAATCATTAGTCGTGACTTCCAATTCTTATCAAAGCCACAAACTGCCTTAATTATATTTAAATTCCCGGACTCGACTCCAATTCTTCAATGGCCTGTAGGAAATGTTTTATTTTCCCAATAACAGTGCTGAAAGGGCCAGTAACTGCAAGTGATCGAATGATAATTGATTGTGCCCTCCAGAGATTAGTTCAAACGTTCAAATCGCCTCAAAAGTGAGATAATGCCAAAAAGATTGTATTGATTTGCTTTGCTTTTTTCTTTTGTTTACTTGAGTACAGGGCCGATACGAAGAATCGATTCGGTACTATGTGAGAGCTCTCTCAATGAATCCTAAGGCTGATAATGCTTGGCAATACTTGAGTGTTTCTCTTAGGTACTGATAACACTAGTAATATCTGCCCACTTACAATGTGCAATTCTCTTTTTTCAGATCAAACTGCTTATAGTTTTATGACAATAGGACATTATTCACTTTGCAGGTTTGCATCTCGCACCGACATGTTGGAAGCTTGCAATACGCGAAATCTTGATGCTCTACAGAAGGAGTTTCCATTGTGATTTGTCCAATCTCAACTTGCAAGACATCCTGCTTATTAAGAGAATCTGCTGATGTGTTAAAAGAAACCTCATTTTGTGCCCTTTTGATTCTACTGAATTCAGCGACGATGATTTCTGATAGCACAGAGTGATCATCATTAAGCCAGGACTCTCATTATCTATCTGGCCACAGTAAGCATGGAGTTGCAGTGGCTTTAATTGAACTTGGAGCTGTTTCATCATCCAGCCATGTGCATTCTTGAGCATATAAGTTAATTTTAGCCTTTAGTGGGCTTGGCTCAATTGTATCAAATAAGCACATGAAACTGTTTAATGTGGTCTCAAAAAATTGCAGTATAAATCACATTAATATTTATTTACAGCTAGATAATTCCATTTCTTTATTTTTCAGCACAGTATTTGTTACATGTAGAAGAAAAAACTTTTAGTAAAAAGCATGTTTTAGAAAATTATTTGTTTTCACTTATTTTTCAGAAAAATAAAATCATTATATTTTATTAGAGATTTTGAGAAGCTTTGCTTAGTTCAAATTAATGTTAGTATTATATATAGCCAAATGATAGATCTGATATATTTCACTGTTTTCAATATGTTTAACTTGAAGCAAAAAAATCCAAATTGATTGAATTGTTTACTCTCCGAATGCTGGAGAAATGTTGTGGCAATCAATGGTGGGCACTTTCTGAGTAATTTTTAGGTTATTTGCATTTGCTTATGAACAAATGTTTAAATACAAGGAAACAATATAAAGTCAAAGGTATGTTTGGGATGGATGTAATTTTTTATGAAATTGATTGTAAAGTTATTGTAGGAAAAATAATTTTGTTATATTAGTTGTAAAACATAGTTTTTATTATGAAGATTTTCAAAAAAATAAAAAGAAATCCACAAAAAATTAATAGTAAATCAAATTATGACTATTCATTGAAAAAAATAAAAATAAAAAGTTGTCCCAATCATGAAATATTATTATGTGCGGAGTTCGGATATAGTCTATTGTTCGGATTTTAATCATGTGAAGTGTTTTTTGTTGTACACAATATGTTCACTAGAGAAAAAAAATTAACATGTCTTTATGTGATTGAAATTTGGATGGTGTACCTACTCAACATTGTTTACCCATACAATGAAATACGTGTAAAAATAGTGGCGGAGCCAGAAAATATATTTAGGGAGGGCTCAAATTAATTTTTTTTTAAATTTTCCTCAACTTTTTACATATAGGATTGGGATTGACATAAGAAGTTTAAAAATATTTTTTCCGACTACCTTCCAAATTTTACTTAACTAAGCTTCACAAATCGATCCCACTGTCATCCCGCCGATCCCTACTTCACAGGAATTTTTATTCCGTCAGTCAGGTTAGCTGATGTAGCTCTACGTCAGGTAGCCTATAATATGTCGCCACGTGCTTTTACTCTTTACCGTGCGGCCTGACGACCCGACCCGGAATGGACCCAAGAGTTTGCGTAGCTCGGTATTGCTAGGTATTGGTCGATTTTGCTTGACAAAAATGAAAAATACCATATGTGAATACCAATACCGAGCAATACCGAGCCTATACCGAATTCTTTTAGGTATTACTCGGTATTGCTCGGTATTGCTCGGTATTGGTCTTCACAGAGCTGTATTTCTCGTTATTGCCAAGCAATAGAGTAATACCTAGCAATACCGAGCCTATACCGAGCAATACGCAAACATAGTAATCCCGGATTCCGGTCCGATTCGGGTCGTCGGGCCGTGCGGTAAAGAGTAAGAGAACGTGGCGATATATTATAGGCTACATGACATAGAGCTACATCAGGAAACCTGACGGAATAAAAATTCCCTTCATAGCCAGATCCCGTGTCAATCTGTTAATTAAAAGCATAGGAGTAAAATTCAACATAATATGCTTTACACAGCTTACCTTGTTCTGTTGGTTGAGAGCTTATGCTTCCAACTAAGAGATCTTGGGTTCGAGTATATGTGTATGCGTTGTGTGTGTGAGTTTGCCTTAAATGGCCTAAATGTCCAAAAAAAAACATAATATGCTTTATTGATAAATGTCTATAACACTATAATAATTTCTAATGCATGATAAGTGAGATTGTAAAGTATTATTTCAAGGACCGGATACCATCACTATTGGGGATGGTCGTTCTATCAACATAGCTCACTCAAGGGCGGGGTTGTTACCAACCCCATCTGATAAGCTTTACTTATCCCAAATACTTCACACACCATCTCTTCAATATAATCTTTTATCTATTTCTAAACTCACTAAAGACAATAATATTTGCATTATATTTGATTCGTTTGGCTTTACTTTTAAGGATCTGAAGACGCAACAAGTTCTTCTTAGTGGACCGTGTAATGGCAGCTTGTATCCCATTCAACCCACTTTCTTACCATCTCAGCAGCAGGCACTTGCAGCTACAACAAACCATCTCAATTCTTGGCATCATAGGCTTGATCACCCACATAAGAGAGTTCTCAACCTCATATCTCATTGTAATTTTCATTTTCATATAGATAAGCATTTCATGTAAATCTTGTAAAGTGTCTAAAGGTCGTAAACTACCATTTGAAACATCTAAAAATTTTCAGCAATCGCTTCTTGCTTTAATTCATTCTGATGTCGGGGTCCTACTCCAGCTACATCGATTCAAGGCTACAAGTACTATGCAATCTTCATTGATGACTTTTCTAGATTTACATGGGTTTTTTCCTATGCGACAAAAATCTGAAGTTACTAATATTTTTATTAATTTTAAAGCTCAAATTGAAAAGTATTTATTCACATCAAATCAAAATGTTACGCACTGATGGCGGTGCAGAATATTTTAACCAATCGTTCAATCAATTTATTAGGATCCATGGTATATCATATCAAATTTCATGTTCGTATACACCACAACAAAATAGTTTTGCTGAAAGAAAACATAGACATATCATCGAGGCTACTAGTACCTTACTTTTAACTACCTATGTTCCCTACGAACACTGGCCAGATGCGGTTTTGACTTTGGTCTATCTCATCAACCTAATACCATCACCAACGACAAATAATATCTCTATGTTTGAACTCTTACATCATACCAACCTGGCTACAATCATCTTCGCACATTTGGCTGCAAATATTTTCCTTTAACTCCTGCCCATTCTCACCACAAACTCCTACCAAAGGCTCATTCATGTGTGTTTCTTGGGGTATTATGACACTCATAAAGGATATAAATGTATGGATCTTGCTACAGATAAAATATCCATATCAAGACATACTTGCTTTGATGAGCAGTACTTCCCATTTTTTAAAATATCCTTGCATATTTATACTCTTTATGTTGCCACCCCACCATTTCTTCTAACTCCTTTATATGCCAGATCTGCTTCTCAATCCACTAGCCATCATCAAATCATCAAACAACCTCAGATTGTATCGATTCCTACTGAAACCTCTACTTCAACTTCATCTTCATCTCATCAGGTTACTCAAACTGTGACATCTCAACTACCTTCTCAACCTGTTATGCCTTCCCATCTGATTGTAACTAGGAAGAAAATAGGCTCGCTTAAACCTATAATCTGATTAAATCTTTTTCATCATCAAAATTCTCGAAACTCCAATCCCGATCCTACATCATATATGGAAGCTGTAAAACAATTTGAATGGTGCCAAGCTATCGCTACTGATATTTTTCCCTCCAACAACAAGGGATATGGAGCCTAGTTAAACCACCCTTTGACTCATCCATTTTAGGTTGCAAGTGGACATATCCTACCAAATTTCATGTAGATGGTTTAGTGGCAACATACAAAGCTAGGCTTGTTGCTCAAGGAAATCATCAAGAATATGGCCTAAATTATACATAGACATTCAACCCAGTTGCTAAGCTACCTACTATTCGTATAATCTTGGCAATAGCACTCTACAATGACTGACTTGTTCAACAGTGGGATGTGGGCAACACGTTTCTACATGGAACTCTCTCGAAAACTATTTACATGACTCAACCAAAAGGATTTGAAAACTCCACTCATCCATATTACGTATCTCATCTTCACAAAGCTATCTATGGGCTAAGACAAGCTCCAAGACAATGGTTCATCATGTTTAGCTCCAAGACAATGGTTCATCATGTTTACATCATACTTGGTGTCGTTGGGATTCTCGCACAGTTAATTAGATCAATCTCTACTATTTTTTTATAATTAAAGGTTCAAATATTCCTACTCATGTATGTTGATGATCTTCTCATAACTGGTAATGATCAAGAAGCCATCACAAAAATTCTGGAACAAGTAAATAAGGAATTCTCTATAAAATATCTGGGAGAAGCAAATGAATTTCTTGGCATCAAGATAGATCAGAGCAATCAAAAGTACTTCTTATCTCAATAGAAACATGCTTATTACATTTTCTAGCAATCAAACTTGACGCAATGCATTGCTCTCTCAAATCCCACTTGCACGAAACCCTTCGATTTTCTCTGAAGATTCTATGCTTGCCAATCCAACTCTCTACATAGGTCTCACAGGATCTCTTCAATACCTGACACTCACTCATCTAGATATTGCTTATAGCATCAATCTATTATCGTAGCATATGCATAATCCTCTATCTCAACACAACTATCTCCTCAAATAGCTTCTATGTTACATCAAATGTACGCTTGACTATGGTATACCCATTACAAAAATTAACCTTGTCCTTAAATCCTTTTTAGATGCAGACTGGACAGGTGATCCCATCTCTAAGAAATCAACATCAGGTTATTACTCTTTTCTAGGAGACACGATCATATCATGGACTGTTAAAAAGCAGCATACAGTGGCCAGATCCTCAATAGAATCTAAATATCATGCACTCGCAACTCTAATGTCAGATATCATTTTGTAGAGAGAGTTGTTATTTGCATATTTTACATTCTTGCAACTTGTATTATT